TTAGCTGTTTTTGCGTTGTTATCCAATCTAGGCCTATCCAGCCATGAAAAATAGCGGGATGTGGTCGCGACATATACAAACCCCAGTATAAGTACGGGAAATAAACAACAGCGCCACCAATGTAATCAGTCAATGAACTGTCTTTAATGTCGACTATCAATATCAGAACTATTCACTGAGAAAGCGATTCACTGAAACATAAAACAAATATTAACCTTCATGTAAATAGAATTATGTAATCAACATAGTAAACATGATTAAACATTGCAACACAATTATCATTAAAATAAAGAAATAATCAGTAATTAGTCCTAGAGAAAATGGTTAATTAATCTACTCTAGCTTTCCTTTAACACTAAATTATCAATATTCCTAATGATAGAATGATATTCATGATTACCATGACAACCAGAGAGTACAACTGACTGGCCGCATCTCGCTATGCGATGGAGTAGCGAGCGACGAAATTCCAAGAGTCATAGCCAACTTTAATTAGCTCTAAACCTAGCAACACTTTAATATATGAATGCAACACTTTTACGAATGCAACATATTAACAGTAGAATAATAAGATACTGTATTCTAAAGAGTCAACAAACTGTGTATATTATACGTAACTAGCACTACCAGCACAGCGCTGGCTCGACGTGCACGGCTCTCGGCGTGCACACATCTCTCAGTCAGTATACAGTCCCTAGGCTAGTAGTACTAACACTTCACAACTATTAGCTATGTAGGCCTACATATTATCAACAACAGAACTGATAGCTTACCGAAGATTTGTGGCTTCTAATAACTTATCCCCGCCTTATAGGGCAACGTTTTTACATAAATCAAACCTGGTTTCTTCACTTCTGTAATTCAAACTAATCAACAAGTACCGCCATGACTTCGCTTCTTCCAGAGCCATAGATAGAAAGAGTTGCGACATTGAGAATTTAGAAGCCATTTTGTGTCATACGCGATGCGCGTTCTGTATCTAACCAAGGTAATTCAACAGAAGGACGCACATCTCCGCTCTCGAACATAGCGCGTGCGTACAGTCCTTTGATCTTTACTGTGGCATCGACAATCCGATACTAGTTGCCGTCAATTATTAGTCTATGCGTGCCATTCGTTTTATGGTGTTAGTTTTTATTTTATTAATTGTGGGTACTTCGCAATGTCTGTTACATCTGATTTTTTTTTACCGCGAGCATGTTAAATGCTTCTATAAACTGCAATTTGATTTGTGAAAATTGACCAAGAAAATGAAAAGTTATGGCTATTTAAATTTTACGAATTTTATAAAATCTCATGTTCTTATGTAAAATTAATCTGTCATTTTGACAATGTTGGCATAAGGTGCCGAAAACGAACATTTGAGTATATACAGAACATTTATTAATTTTTTCTGCGAAGTAACTCTCATGAAAGACAATTCACCACAATTTTGGTAAAATTAATGTTGAAATGAAGAATATAATTTCAGTCTAATGTTAGTGCATAATATCATTAGGCCTTTGTAATCACCGCACGACGCGCGATTATCATGGCAACTAACACGCGCGTGAGTAATTCGTCACGTACGCTGACGGTTTATGGTCTGGTTGCTATGGTTTTGTGACGTTCAGCGTGTAGGGACGCACGTGCGCCTAGAATGTGGATGCCAGAGTTATAACCTTTGGCTACGTTCAGACCTGTGAGATACGCCAGGCGTATCTAACGCCAGGTGTACGTTAATCCATGGCGTAACTAGCGAGATGTCCAGACTGGGCGATTAATGAACGCTAGCGTAAGTATTCGCGCGAAATATTCGTATTCGTAATTCGCGCATTTTATTTTCTGTTTACATCTAGGTTTATTTTGATAGGTCAAATCTTGGCTGAGTTCAAAATCACCGATGCGTGACTGTCGTAAATCAGTGGCGTACGCTAATCTGGGGTCTGTTGCTGGATTACCGTACGCCAGTGATTGCGCGATAATACTGCCGTTCGCTACGCCGCGCACAAGTTCACACCACTCGATTAACGTTACGCTAGCGTAAGTCGTTGTGTCTGAACATAGCCTTTGATGTCCCGAGATGTGCGTCCTTCTGTTGAATTGCCTTGATCTAACGTGATGTGCGCTCCTATGTGTAATATTGTATAATACAGTTAGCGGCGTCCTGTATAGTTTAATTCCATTTAATCTTTTTAGCAGTCGCATTTCATGTAACTATTTTTATAGATTTTTTTTAAATGATTTCACTAATTTATATCCAATTTCATATTATAAATACTGTAATAATTTACTATTTTGAGCAGTTCTTTAATCCTCGCCGATAGACCGAGAGAGCCCGTCGATGGCAAGCATTCTTCAATTAGGCAATCCTGTCATATAGACCCTTAAGTAGCTCCTGTTATTTTTGCAAATAAATGATATGTAAGACCAGCAAAAATTAATTAAATATGTATATCAAAATGCAATTAAAATCCGTATATAGGGTATATAGATTGTTGCTCTTTAAATTAGAATATGAGCGAGCCCTATACAAATCTTATGTTATTAATTTGATTATTATTATTTATAAGTATTAAAATAGTATAGGTCAGTTGGCCGCAATATATAAATTGTGCTTTGCTGTAAATGTTATAAATTATCAGTGTTAAACGATATACAGGATCTGTGATATATTCAACTTGTGTAATTATGTAACGTACATTTTATTGTATTAAAAGTCTCGCCTCTATTTAAATATTGTATTATGGCTGCTGTACAGTATGTTACTTTTATAAACACTGCAAGAGCGTGTCCGCTGTTTTAAAAGCGTCGTTTCCAAAATAAAGTTATAATAATTATATAATAGTATGCAATAGAAACAGCAAATCATTTTTAAGATTATTAAACATAACCTTTATTTTCATTGTCATTCGTATTTATACAGGCTGTACAAAGATTTGAAATTAAGAAGAACCATTTTCTAATATTGTTTAACGAACAACCTTTAAAGATCGTCAGAAAAGGGCGGAAAATTTTTTTTTTTTCTTATTTAGCTTAAATATTTTTCCGAACGCATCTAGGCGAATGAGAAAATAAAAATAAAAAAAATTAATGATGAACGTAAACAGTGTAATAATGCAACTGATAAATGATTTAAATTTATATAAATAAGGAAGAAATATATATATATATATATATATATATATATATATATATATTAACAAACTATTAAAAACAATTAAAACCAAAGAATAGATTACCATTAAATTAAATAAAATAGGTCAGGTCTTCATTGATTAAAATGTGACGAATTAACGATAATTGAAAACAATTCTAACTTTAATTTAAATCATTTACGCGAGCACGGAATTTACGCGAGCACGCACGCGCGCAAATATTTTTTTTCTTATTTAGCTTAAATATTTTTCCGAACGCATCTAGGCGAATGAGAAAATAAAAATAAAAAAATTTAATGATGAACGTAAAAAGTGTAATAATGCAACTGATAAATGATTTAAATTTATATCATTAAGGAAGAAATATATATATATATATATATATATATATATATATATATATTAAAAAAACTATTAAAAACAATTAAAACCAAAGAAAAGATTACCATTAAATTAAATAAAATAGGTCGGGTCTTCATTGAATAAAATGTGACGAATTAACAATAATTGAAAACAATTCTAATTTTAATTTAAATCATTTACGCGAGCACTGAATTTACGCGAGCACGCACGCGCACAAATATTCGATTATATATGAATTCTTATACGCTGTCCATACTAAGTGATGTTAATTATAAAATATAATTGTAAACCCAATTAAGTGTGTGAAATTAATATGCAATGTATGTAACACATATACTTTGCATGTGTTCATCGGGAAGATTATGAAACAAATTGGACGGTGTGTACCACGTGACTTTCGTAAACCAAGGAGCGGAATGTCGCAACTCTTTATATATATGCTGCCCTGCTCTGAGAAAAGGCATTAAGTACATTTTATTCAAAATTGAGATTTTTAGCTTTTGTGACTCCTGAATGTCTAATCTATCACCCTATTTTATCTAATTTCCAAAAATATGTCTGGAAATATGAAATTTTCTTTTAAAATTGGGCATTATCTGCAAATTTCACTATAAATACTCTGAGAAAAGGCATTATGTGCGCAAAGCCTTACATACATGTATTGAATGCTTGACTTCACGCAAGACAGATAGTAAGTAACCAATCAGATGCTAGTATAACGAATATCTAATTAATTAGATTGGAATCCTTATCAGATAATGCCTAGTTAGTAACTACTTTATTTCAAAGAATACTCTGAGAAAGTGCATTATCTGCTATATATTTTACAGCGTTTATTTATAATTCTGTGATTATAAATATTGTTTTTTATTATGTTTCATACCTATTAAGTAGTAAATTTAGATTATTATTATTATTATTTAGTACCGTAGTATTATTTTTTGTTTTATCGACATTGTATGTTTTGTATTGTGTTTATTATTATTATTATTATTATTATTATTATTATTATTATTATTATTATGTCTTACTACACAATAAAAAAAACCAACATGTAGCTGAAATTCAACATGAGTTCACTTTTTGTTGCCTTGTGTGGTATAACAGATGTAATGAGTTATCTATAGTGTGGTAAACCAAACTATTTAGGGCGCACTTGCTATGAAGAAGCCAGAGCCATAATGGCTCTGGCTTCTTCATAGCAAGTGCGCCCTCAATAGTTAAGGGAATTATACTATAGATAACTCATTTCACCGGCCCCTTAATTGAGGATCAATTACACTAATATAATAATTCCTGAAACACTCAGAAATTAAACATAACATCTGATTAACAAACAATGTCAACATTAAATCTTAAAATTAAAGATCCATGTAAATATTTTTCTGCTTTTCAATCACCACTTCCACAGTTCATCTATTATTAATCAGTGACTAATACTTTGACAATGATAACCATCTTAGGGAGTAGACTGTCCCTCCGGTTATTAAACTGATGGGTTTATTCTGCCCCATTGTCCTCTGATTCCATTAACAAACACAATTTAGTAATGGGTCTTTCTAAGGTAGAATGCTGTGTTTTCACCTTACATGACCGAACAAGTCCTCTGCTGTCTGCTTTGGTTTCAATAACTCGTCCAAGGAGCCAAGTACTTCTGGGTAATGAATCGTCAACAATTAGCACAATGTCTCCTTTTTGCAAATTTCTCTTCGGATACAGCCATTTTTGCCTCTTTTGCATTAGAGGCAAATACTCCTTACGCCATCTTGTCCAATATAAATTGGCCAAATATTGTATATGGCGAAACCGCCTTCGGACATAAATGTCTGTTTTATCGAAAAATCCGGGTGGGAGTACATATTTTTCATTCATTGTTAGAATCATATTCGGTGTTAATGGTCGCAAGTCGTCTGTATCTGACGATACTCTGGTAATCGGCCTTCCATTTAATATGTGTTCTACCTCACAAAACAAGGTACAAAGACCCTCATCATCAAGTCGAAGATGCTGTTCTTTTAGAACTCCATCCATAACCTGGCGGACAACTCTAATTAGGCGCTCCCACACGCCACCGAAGTGGGAAGCACCGGGTGGATTGAATTCCCATTGAATTCCATGTTGAGCCAGCCATTGACGGATCTGACTTCTGTTCCATGTTTCCACGGCTTTGCTTAACTCATTGCTTGCAGCCACAAAATTTGTTCCGTTATCAGTTCTGATGGAGGAAATTAACCCTCTCCTGCATACACATCTCCCTATCGCATTCAGGCAGGAGTCTGCATTGGCTGTGTGCACAATTTCTAGGTGTATAGCCCTTGTTGCTAAACATGTGAACAGAAGTCCATATCTTTTTACTTGACTTCTACCTTGCTTGACCTGAAATGGCCCAAACATATCCAGCACGGTGTGATAAAAGACAGGATTGTCGCTGAGCACACGCTCACTTGGCAATGCGGCCATCTTTTGTTCTGAAGACTTGGCACGGTACTTTCGGCAGATGACGCATTTACTGATAACACCTTTTATTAATGCACCAGCCACCATAATCCAGTGTTTCTCCCACATGTACATTAACATAGCAGCTCGACCCATGTGTCCGACATTTTAATGGGCTTGAAGGGCAATTAATGCGGCAATTTCAGATCTCTTGGGGATTATTATCTGATGCTTCTGGGAGGGCTGCTCTTCTCAGTCTTCCCCCAACTACGATAACTCCATCTACCAGCATAGGGTCCAGCTTACGCAAGGGACTAGCTTTCATTACCGCAGTTATCGATTTCTTCTCCCCATTCTTCAAGGCAGTTAACTCCGCCGCAAAATGTTTCTGTTGTTCATGAACTATATTGAACCCTCTGCAGCCTCCAATTGATCAACGTCATTGCTCTTCGATTGATTCTTTCCTGCTCTTCTGACAAACTTTAAAACTAGACCCACTACATTCCTCAGCTTCATGGAGCTTGAGCATCTAGAGATCAATCCGTCTAGGAAATAGCACTGGTTTTTGGTTACAACCACATTGGAAACCTTCTTGACTTCTGGGTCATTCTCATCAATTTCAACCAAACATTCCTGTGGGTGCTGCTCAACATGTTGATCAAGAAAATCAGGCCCATTGATCCATCACTTATTTCGCAAGAAATCATCAATACCTTGACCTCTAGAGGCTTCATCGGCTGGGTTGTCAGCCCTTCTGACGTATCTCCATTGTGAAACTTTGGTCAAGTCTAATAAAGTAGAAACACGATTAGCTACGAACATTTTAAATCTTCTGGTATCACTCTGTAAATACTTAAGAACAGCCTGGCTGTCTGTCCAGTAACAAACTTCCTTGATATTCAACTCACGTAATATATAATCTGTGAAACGGGCTGCCATAACTGCTGCAGTCAACTCCATACGAGGGATAGATACATATTTCAAAGGAGCCACTCTACTTCTTGCTAAGCCAAGGGAAACGTGTATTGTTCCATCTTGGGCTTCCTGCTTCAAATAGGCGCACATGCCATACCCCTTCTCGCTCGCGTCCGAAAATATATGGAGCTGTTTACTTATTATATTTGAGGACAGATTTGACTTATAACACCTCGGCATACTCCATTCTTTGAGCCTCTTTAGCTCCTCAAACTATATCCTCCATCGCTGCATTGAGAAATCATCAATGAGGTCGTCCCAACCTAGGCCTTGCCGACAGAGATCTTGTAGTAGCATTTTTGCTGGCAGAATGAAAGGGGCCACCAATCCCAATGGATCAAAGAGAGAGCTGGTAATAGACAAGATGCCCCTTCTTGTGTAATTCCTTTCGGCGGCTGTTATATTAAAGCTTAGTGTGTCCAGTTGAGGTGACCATTGTACGCCCATGGTTCTACCTGTTGGCAAGTCATCGTTATTTAAATCCAATGACTTCAGTTCCGGGGCTCTTTCTGCTTCAGGAACTGTGTTTAACATTTCTTTATCATTGGACAGCCATTTGGTTAAACGGAAACCCCCATCAAGACAGAGGTTGGACAGGTCTTTGATCATGCGTACTGTCTTCATCTGGTCAGGAGCCGATGCCAGACAATCATCAACATAAAAATTCACTTTCATTGCCTTTCTTGCCTCATCACAATATCTCATACCATGATCTTCCAATGTCCTTCTCAATGTCGTGTTGACACAAGCTGGTGAGAAAGTGGCACCAAATAGATGTCTCGTCATCCGGAATGTCTTAATTGGTTGTCCATCTACTGGACGCCAGTAGAATCGAAGGCTATCTCTATCTTGCTCCTTAACAATGACCTGCAAGAACATGCTTTCAATATCGGCTGTAAGGGCAATTCTCTCTGCTCTAAATTTCATAAGAACTCCGATCAGGGTGTTATTTATATTTGAACCCTGCAGCAGTAGGTCATTCAGTGCCACGCCCGCATACTTGGCTGCGCAGTCAAAAACAACCCTGATTTTACCGGGTTTTTTCTCATTTATGACAGGATGATGTGGTATATACCATGCTTTGCCGCCCACATACGTTTTTTCGTCTACCTCCTAAATGTATCCCTTAGCCATCATATTCTCCATGAACTCCGAGCATAGCCATCTTTAATTCTAACTTTAGCTCTTAATCTAACAGCACTTTAAGCTATGAATGCAACACTTTTCCGAATGCAACATATTAACAGTAGAATAATAAGATACTGTATTCTAAAGAGTCAAAAAATTGTGTATATTATACGTAACTAGCACCACCAGCACAGCACAGCGCTGGCTCGACGTGCACGGCTCTCGGCGTGCACACATCTCTCAGTCAGTATACAGTCCCTAGGCTAGTAGTACTAACACATCACAACTATTAGCTATGCAGGCCTACATATTTTCAACAACAGAACTGATAGCTTACCGAAGATTTGTGACTTCTAATAACTTATCCCCGCCTTATAGGGCAACGTTTTTACATAAATCAAACCTGGTTTCTTCACTTCTGTAATTCAAATTAATCAACAAGTACCGCCATGACTTCGCTTCTTCATAGCAAGTGAGCCCTCAATAGTTAAGAGAATTATACTATAGATAACTCATTACACCCATTGTATGAGCTCTATTTAGAGGAGAGAGGTCAACTTACACCGGGGCGATTAGTAGAATTAATATATAGGTGCTATAGGTTGTTAGGATCAGATTAAACTAATTTATATATTTCGAGATATGTACAATGAATCAGCTATTCAAATGGAATTGCTAGCCTAGAGCCTGTGACAAACTGGTGCTACTTTATAGTCTTAACGGATTTAAGCAGTGCATAGCATAGTGCTACTGAGATATTTTTTGGAGGCTTATTAAAATTGGCGTTTATACCATGGACGTCGTATAGAATATACCTCCATCTTTATACAGTATAGTGCAAATAGCCTGTAAAGAAGGTTTGTGTTCTGTTTGTTTGCTTACGAAATAGAGGCACGCCTAGATGACACTGGTGTTTGATTTTATGATTAAACAGTTAATATCAATATTGGCTTTCTAATTGAAGTATTATTGTCTAGAAATCCTAGCATAGTTAGTTAGGGGTCTTAATTGTCAGGGTCTCAGAATTCCTAGTCTTAGGTCTTAAACCTCGTTTGTACTGGATTATTTTTTTTGTAGAAATCTTACCGAGATTATAGTAAACAGTCCAATGTATAATGTTACTGCTGTAACCGCACTTGGACGTTTTAGCTTGTGAGTTTTACCATGACTCTTCTATGACTTACCGAGGAACCTATGAAAGTCAGTTAAAGTGATGGTGACTCAAGAAGTTTCATGGATTCGCGCTGTTCCCATTGGACTTTTTCGCTCAGTGAAACAGACTCCCTAAGTTTTACTGGGAAAACAGGACTCGAAAAAGCTTACAAAAAGTAAGTCTGGTCAGAAAAAGTTAGTGGTTCTAAAGGGTTTTTTTTTTTTTGAAAGTCTTACAAGTGGTCGGTAAGTCCAAAAAAGTGCAGTGCGAAGTGTGAATTAGGCTTTAGATTTCTGGGGCAGAGTGCCCGTTTATATTCAACAATAATTGACCAACATGGTATTTCGGATGTGTGTTGTATACTCTGTCGGGATGGCGTGTGATTACAATACCATCTGGACAAAATGCTACGTGATGAACTCAGCAATACGTTTGTGTCGGATCTAAAAAAAAATTGTTGCCTCAGATATGAGTCTGACTACTCGTAAAATAGCGAGTAGTAATTTAATAGATTTCCTTCGTGTTAACTGGCTGTAACCAAAATTATGCCTTTATACAACCAGAACAAAGATGATAAAAGATAATTAATAATAAAACAACAGAAAGCTGTATTATGTTTTCTATAATGTTTGAATTACACATAGTCACAACATTAGTCAAATGCATTTGAATTGCTTTAGGAATAACGTGATATATTTAAAATAGTCCTACGTGTTAACACACGATATAGCAGTGTCTCCCGCTAATCTAATAGAAACCCAGAGTGGAATTTGTTAAATTGATATTTGTTTTACTATACACGATCATACAAAATTTAATCTTTTTTGGGGTTTATATAACAGCTTCCCCCTCAAGGGTTGGATTTATCAAATCCCCTGCCACGTCTTTTAAGAACAGTTGCCTGTAAAAATCAAAGAAATTTCAAAAATAGTTGCAGACTCAAAAAATGGATTTCTTTCAAATTTTGCGTATGGCTATATCTTTGTTAAGAGAAATCAAATATGAAGTTTTATTTAATTTGTGCCTATATTTACATGGCAACGTGTAAATTTGTATTTTTGGCAATTCTTGTCATTTTTTGCTGTTTTTAAAAGTTAATATTAGTAATAATTCGATACAATATTTTAATATCATTATGTTTTGTTCATCAAAAATAAAAGGATGTGTGTATAAGGTCAATATATTGGGTATCTGTTGCATATTTTTACATGTTTTTTAGATTACGTACTTGGGAGATACCATGTTTTTAAAAAGGGGTGTTTTTTTCAAATTATGAAAAACTTCCAAATTTTAATTGCCCATAAACCTCAAAGTGGTGCTTTTTTAGAACTGATTTTCTACAAATAGGCTAATGCTCCCTTAGAGAATTATAGTTTAAAAAATGTTGGTAATTAAAAAACGTATGAGCAGTGTTTCCAGAAAAACTGTTATTTTTCATTAAAAAATTATAATAGTAAAATTTACCAGTTTGTTCCGCTGATTTATTCATAGATTCATTTGATGAGAACAATGATAAATGTGTTTCAATACCTTAAATTATATTGTGATAAAAAAAAAAACAATGTTTCCGGTATCACTGTTGTCAATTTTCTGTTTTAGCGGTATTTTAAACCCTTTAATTAAGGGTAGAGTTTATAATCAATTTCACTTTATACACACTAATTTCTGTCAATGGTGTAACCAGTTAGACACAGCACCTTAAACTGCCTGGGAATGCCAGTCCCGGAAAAAACACCCTCTCCTACCTAACCAACATCATGCAACACCCCTACCCCTTTTTGTCAGGACAAGTCAGGCATTAACGTGAAAAAAAATAAACCTAATATGTGGTCGTGGTGGGGGGGGGGTGCTAAGATTTGCAAGACAAGAAGTCGTATGTCCCATATGGTGGTCCGATATTAAGGGGTTTCTATGGCTTATTTTATTCCATTTTAGGGTCTATTATTAATGTGAAGCTCCCCTACCCCAGGCCCCCTGGCGCCACCTTGGGTTTTGTAAGTCATAAGTTACCAAAGGTAAGGTCAACCTAGAAATGGATACGTAAATAATCATTTGTTTTTCTGTCCCAAAGATGAATTTAATCCTCTCGCTGTGGATTTCACTTGTGTCCTTCGGCAAGGCACTGTATCTGCATTGCTTCTCTCCACCCAGGAGTATACATGGGTACCTGGTATTGTTAAATGCCAAAATGCGTTGATGTATCTGCTGCAACGCTATAGAATACTCCCACAGGGACCTTTAGTTTGTGTTCCATAGGCGTTTAATCCAGTGACTGGGGGTTGGCGTTAAGTGCTATATAAATCTAACATATTAATATTATTATTAATATTATTATTATTATTATTATTATTATTATTATTATTATTATTTAAAAAGTCCTACATGTGCACTAGAAAATCAGATAGTTACAGGAATTTGAATATAGACCTGATAATCAAACACTGTTGGACAAATCAGAATTAGGTTATGCTAAAAGACATTCAACTAACACTTGCATATTCCCATGGTAGTTTTTTTATCTTCTAAAGTCTAATCTTTTAATTAAATTTTCATTTGCTCCACAAGCCATCAGTCGACTATTATCTGCCATACAAAAAACATTACATTTAAAATCATCACTATATAATTGCAATGGCCAAAAAAAAATCATTAAAAAAAATTAAACAATAGATCAATGTAGCAGAGAAGTACAAATGGAGGAATTCTTTGCAGAAAACGGATAGACATTTAGAGAATATGGAAGAAATGAATATTTGAAACGTTCAGCTCTACAAGTAGGCAGTAAGAATTAAGGCTGATTGTTGTATTCCTAAGCGAGATAGATATTTAAGAATGTGATCATAAGACTGAACAATTGGACAAAAAGTTAATGGAGTGAATTATTTAAATCTTGTGTTGTACCTTGTATTACCATATTGAGCAAATAGGTGTGGATATGAAGAATGTGATGAGTAATGTGATAGAATTTTACTGAAAAGATATTCAATCAATCAACAGTAAATATTAAATACGCACCTTCACATTAAAAGGAAAGAAGAAAAAAACACAAGATTTTCAGAAACAACAAAAAGAATATGCTCAAAAGAAATTCCAAATAGTCAGTGTCAGAGGTTGAGAAAGACACGAGAATAGCTAGGGACGACGAGTGAGTTAGTTATTTAAATTATCAGAATATCTGAGCAAACGATGTAAAGTTATTTATTATTATATACACTGTAGGCTACTAAACGGTTGACAAGTCAGATGAAGATGTTTTTTAAGCTGCCGAAGAGGAATCGCCATAGACAACCTCCACATGTTTGTCCACGAAACAGTTGAACTTTAACATATTGTATTTAGCACAATAAACTTTTCATAGTGAATTCAACAATTTAATTGAGTCTTCCTAAGTTGAAAATCATAACTCGTCGTTGAAAACGAAATTATCATGGATTGCTTTTGTCAGTGTGGTGTTTGAATTTGTTTGGTATTCAGAAAGTTAAATTAAGTTGTTTGATTTACATGCAATGCAGAATAATATTGTGTTTAACATATTTGAAATAAACCTGGCAACACATGTTGTTATAATAGTAAAGTATAGTAATATTATGGTTACATGAATTATATTTTATATTAAAGCATTGTCCGTACAGTAAATAAATGTATA